AAAAAAATATATATTAAACTATAACTTATAAACTTTATTTTAATATAAAAACAAAAATTATAAACTTAATATAAAGAAAAAATTTCAATTTTTACTATGTTTTATTAATAAAATTGATCTCTGATTGCAAACTTTTGTTCATCAAGTGTATATAATAATAATATGCAAAATAATTAAAGAGATATTTTAATTAATAAATTATTTACATAATTTTATAATTTGTTATAAATTATAAAATTAATAATCTTTATATTATAAGTGTAATAATATTATTATATTTTTTTAATTATTATTATATAATAATTAATAGAATTATAAAATCATATATGTAATTTTATTAATAAAATATAATAAAAATTGAATTTTTGTCTTATATAAAATTTTTAATTTTATTGATAAAAATTTTTTATTTTTATATTAAAACAAAAATTATAAGTTATAGTTTAATATATATTTTTTCAGATTTTTAGATTTTTTTCTGACAAATTATTTTAACTGCAAAGTTATTGCAAAAATTTTTTATAATTAAAATATAAAATTAATTATAAAAAATTTTTGCAATTAAAATAACTTTGTCAAAAAAAAACCAGAACAAATTTATATTAAACTATAATTTATAATCTTTATTTTAATATAAAAATAAAAATTTTTATTAATAAAATTGAAAACTTTATATAAAACAAAAATTCAATTTTTATTATATTTTAATATATATTTTTTTTGAATTTTTAAAATCAAACTCAAATTTGTTTTCTAGTTATAAAATTTTATAAAATTTTTAATTAATTATTAAATTTAAATTAAATTCAAAATTTTTAAAAATATATAAATATAATAGTATTAAATTATTAATAAACTATGATGTGAAAACTCTTAAATTGATAATATATTTTAAGTTTAAAATACTATTACTCAATATAAAGACAAAATTTTCAAAATTTAACTAGTAACTTTGTAAAACTTGTTATAAAAACAAAGTTATCAGTTAGATTTTGAAAATTTTACCTTTATGTTGAGTAATAGCATTTTAAAATTGAAATATATTATTAATTTAAAAATTTTTATACTATATAATAAATATAATTTTTTGTTATTTAAAAATTTTTGATTTACTAATTAATATTTTTTATTTTTATATTAAAATACAAATAACAATTTATATTTAACATATATTTATCAAATTAAATCTAAAAATATGAAAAAAATATATGTTAAAATATATATTATTATTTTAAATTTAGATTAAAATTTTTAATTTTATTAATAAATTTTAAAAACATATATTTTTTATAATTACTATATTCTGATTAATATTTAGAAATATTTCTAAATTATTTTCAAAAAATTAAGTTTATTGTTCAAAAAATATTTTTTATTTTAATAATAACATTTTAATTAACTAATTAAAATCTAAGTTCGAATTAAAATTAAAATCCTGGATATGTAATTGGTTAATACTATAATATGATGTATAATATCTAAAGTTATCAAAAATTTGTATTTTATAAAATGGTAACTTTTTTACTAAGTAAATACAAAATTTAATTCATCAAGGATTTATTCTATTATATTGACGAATTAAAATTTGTATTTAGATATTATAGATTATAATTGTTTACAATTAGATTGATCCATATCTTTTAATTATAATAATTAAAAAATATGAAAATAACAATTTATATGATTCCAGTATTGATTGATTTTCTTCACCAAATCTTATCGTTATTATCAAATTAAGTCTTAACACTTCAATCTTGTTTTGCGCCATTCATTCATTGAACATTGTTTTACACACGCCATTATACATACAGCATACATATTTACACGTGTGCGACATCTTCTGTTGCATCAAAAAAGATCACATTACGTATCAAAGTAAAGAAAAAAATGCGAGATTAGCGTGTTTATTAATTTAGTTATTGTGGATATTATTATTTATTATTAGAAAACGTAAGACGTACATTTTCAAGAGTAATAATATATAGAATAGTATTTATATGTATTTATATGCTGGTGTGTGTTTTGTGGGTTGTGTGTTTTGTGTGGATGTGAAGTTTTTATTATGTATGTACAGTAGTAGTAATATAATATATTTTATGTATATAGAAATAATATGTATGTATCAGCAGCGTAGTAATAATGAAGCAGCAGTAGTAAAAAATAAAAAGGAACCCGAATTGGAAAAAATATGTATACGAAAAGAATCGATTTAACGATGCGATTAAACGAATAAATTGTTCGTGAGTTTGAAATTAACGAACCGAAAAAAAATGCGATGTTCGTAAATAACGCGAAAAAAATACGATCTCTTGTCTGAGAAAAATAAAATTCTCGTCTGAAAAAATAAATTTATCTTGTCTGAAAATAAAAGCCAATCAAGCAACACCACTTTAAATGTTCAAGTGGCTTTTGGCTGTGTTTGAAGAGCAAAAAAAAGAACCTATATCAACGTGTCGTTGACACGTCTTCTCTTGTCTTCGTAGTAATAAGAATAAAGTAAAATAAAAAACTTTTGTGGAAAATAAATAAAAAAAATATAATTTTCCGAGTAACAATAATAAAATAAAGGTCGATGCAATTTTGCATCAAAACTTCATAATAAATGTCCAGTTAAAAAAAAAGAAAAAACTTGCTTCGTCTTCAAACAAAATCAATGTCTTGTTTTTTTTGTGTATTTTTATAGAATAAAAACACATTATACAAATTTCTCTCCTCGTTCCAATAACGTTACTAAACCGGCGAGCACCTTGGCCATCCCGTCACCCAGTAGACCTCGGTATTTGCCTTTACCGCCATTGACTGCAAACTCGTGCTTCATCGCTTGATCGATAAGCATTGGGATACTTAGCGTTAGACGCGCTAGTTGAAGGGTCAGTCGTAGTCGTCCAAATACATCGAAATATGATAGCGATCGAAGTTCTTGTTGGAGATCATAAACTCGCATGAGCTCGAATTGCACAATTTTGATATATTTTTGGCCGGCTTTATGATTGAAAAAGAAATTAACATCATGATCGATGAATATTTCAAGTAAAAAATATTATTGATAATAAAAACTCACCCAAAAGAAGTTCTCTCATTCTTCGGAAGGCATGCTCTAGGTTTTCGATCGCGTCATCTCCAAGATCCAAACTCGGATTTCCCTCGTTGAGTGCATCTATGATTAAAGATTAACTCGTTAATATCTATTCTAATAACAATTGCAACAATAATTGCAATAATAATGATACTTACTGACTAAGGCGCGTATCATTTCGAAGTCGCCATCCATGAATTCCAAAAATAACTGCAGACATATTCACCGAAATCTTTGATTAGTGATGAGTGTAACGAATAATGGTAACGATGATTGATTAGGGGTTTGGGTGTTGTTGGTCATTAGGGTAAGGAAAGGAACGGAATGGGAAATGAAAGGAGATGATAGATTGATAGGGAATCGGTTTTTCAAGTTACCTGATATAGAACACCATGTAACGTTTCATCACCCATACCGCTTGCACTACCAAGGTCACTTGATCCTGACACATCATATGCACGCCGACTAGATGGTTTATTTAGAGTTTCGTATGCATATGAAAGTTCTGTTGATAATCAAGAGAAAAATGTATGTTAATTTTGCTCGCACCCTCTCCATTCTGTTTGTTAAGAAAGTCTCGAACTGCTTACTTTGGAATGCTTCTGTTGCTTTTGGATATCCAGGGAATTTATCTGGATGGCAAATCCGTGATCGCTAATTTATATGAATAACAAAAGATTTTTAATTAAAGATTTTTGACGCAACATACTTTGAATAAAATAAAGACATACCGTGATATAAGCCTTCCGTAGTTCCTCTGCAGTGGCAGTTCTCTCAATGCCGAGAATATTGTATAAATTCGTTTCTTGACAAATCTCGTCCACTACCTGATATCTCAATGAATTATCAACTCCCCGTTTGGTATTCGGTATTTTGGTGTTTCCCATGTTATTGCTTTCAGCGTTCAGCGCGACAGCAGCGATACTTGAAGCAGTTGTGTTTGTTGGAAAGTTTGTGTAAGCTGATGGCGGCATTTTGGTGTTTCTAGAGTATGCTCCCTTTTGAAAGTTATGTTTTGAGCTTCGGTGTTGATGCTTATGTTGGGTGTAGTTGTTGTGGTTATGGTGAAAGTTGAATTCTGACTCTAAATTTTTATTGTAATGACTATGGTTGTATTTCTTGTTTGGTTTGTTATGCGGTTGCTGCTCTTGTTTTGTGGAGCTGTCGTTGTTTATTGTGGTTGTGGTGGTGGTCGTTGATGTTGAATCGGTTGTAGAATTAGCAAAGTAATTATTCCCAAGAACTGCTGAAGAGAGGTAATTGAAAACGTACATTTGGTCAAAGAGATTAGTTGTTTGAATAAGACGAACAAAGAAAGTGGGGAAAGAGTTAGTGTGTGTGTCGGACGACTTTTGAGATAGAAACAGCAGTTTATTTTATCGCTTTTTTTTTCGAGTGCATGAAACAAGCGATATTGTTGTTACTTTTCTCGGCTAGTCCGTCGTTCGGGTGTTGTGTGTTTGCAAAAGAGCAGTTAATTTAATCCCACAACATTTATATCCGATGGACAATGATGATTGAATGGATATATATGACAAACGAAATGTACACAACATGCAATAGAATTATTAAGTGAAACAATGGTAGAACAAGATGATTGGAAGATATCGTAAAAATCGAGGCGAACACACAACACACGAGAGACAGACAGAAAAGAAGAAGATACGCGGCGGCGACGACGACGAGACAAAGTACGCGAGACAAGTATACATACGTTATTATGAGCGATTGAGAGATCGAGAGATAGCGATATCGAGATAGAGTGATAAAGTTGAGAGAAAAAGATTAGTTTCTTTGTTTCGACTCGAATAATGTAAAGTTTTTTCTCGGTCTCAAAAATAATAGTAGTAATAAACAATAGTTGAAGACGACAAACAGGACAAGTAAAAGTAAAAGTAAAAAAGATAAAGTATATCCAATCTAAAAAAAATTGACAGACAGGGGAGAAGAATATGATTATATATAAAAGAAAAATAACATAAAACAAACTATTGACACACTTTTTATGGACTACAGGTTACTATAATACTATTATTTTGTGTGTGCGTTATTATTGTGTATGAATTTCAAATGGGGTGTGAAGAATAAAAAATATATAAAGTTAGTTGTGTGTATGTAATAAAAGTGATTGGAAGATGCAAGACTATTTCTTAATAAAGTCTGCCTGTCTGCTGCTGCTACTGATGATTTTTTGGTGTATGGCATAAAATCATAAGCATGAAAATCACACGAGAATTGACCACACACTCTTTAGTCGTAATCAGTGATTAAGTTTATTTTTACAATAATTGAATATGGATATGAATGTGGTGGATGTGGATGATTTTCTCCTCTCCCAAAAGATGATTTATCGCTGTATCGATGGATGATGCTTCTTTTGCAGAAGAAGAAGCAGCAGCAGCATCATCATTGATAGCGAAGAGCATTGATGATGATAATGGAACGGAGGTGATGAAAGAAGAAAGTTGTCGCGGCCGTGTGTTGTTGGTCGTCGTTATCGTCATCGTCTTCGTGAAGTAAAAACGCGATGATGCAAAGCAATAAACTTTGATCAATATCATTATCATCATCCACATCCACCACACACATATTCACATATAAAATACAACACCAACAGACTCGGGAAACAAGAAGCGTGAACACGAGGTAGACAGAATACAGCAGAGAAAGGCAAGACAGGCAGGGGCGAAGTAAAAAGTTATTCTCTGTTTGTCTCAACTATTAATTTATGTATATCGATATGTATATGGTGATAATATTAATAGTATTAATATTAATATTATTTGTAGCACTTACTTTGAGTTCTGTCGCTGTGTCTTTTTTGGAACGTTTAGGTATAAAAAAGGTGATTTTTTATAGTAAGCGTGAGGGTGATGAGAATGTGGTAGTAATGGCAGTGGTGTAAATATTTTGCTATTATTGTTAAAAAATATGAAAAAATTGTGAATTCACATGTTAGTGCACGTACATGTTATAAACGTTGAAAAATTGAATACAGGGAGTGATATGAATGCGTAACCAATCCTCATTAATAAAATTGTATTAATGATGCCCGCTATTCCCCTCAAACGAGTGTTGATGGTGATACATTGAACGTCATTGATAAACATCGATACGAATGATCTTCATCGCACATGGTGATATCGCATTAACACGTGTCGGTTTGAGGATGATGTTTATCAAATTTCTTCGTGTGATGTGATTGGTTTGTGGAGTATTTGTGTATCAAGGGAAGATTTCGGCGAATAGTTTTTATATAAATAGAGAGCATCACCCCCATTCACTTGTTTTCGCTTGCACACCCGCTCTCTATATCTATCTTTTTTCCTCTCTCCTTCGTCGTCATCATTACACAAATTCTCTTCCATGTTCCCAAATCATCGCCTCCCACTCTGATTTTTTATAATGATTTTTTTCACACTTACCTAATATTTTTATTATCGTAGAACGTGAGTAAAACACGATGTCCGACACACGTAACAGTGGCGAAAGCAAAGATAGAAACAAATAAAAAGCAAATGATTGTTATGAAAAAGGATAATGATTTACTCGTCTTAAGATTGTGTGGATGTATATATATTATAGTATATTATATTAAAATATAGTATGTATGTGCGTATTACGTATTTGTGTGTGTGTGTGTGTGTGTGATCTTAGAATAATCTTATTTTTTTCTTTTGGATCAGAAGGTGGTAATTTAATTTTAGTGGGTGTGATAAAAATAATAGAAAGGATTTAAAAAAAGGTTTTTGGTTTCCTTGATTTTTGGTTTGGGAGAAGACAAAAGTCTAGGGGGAAAAGTGCGTGTGGGTGTCCAATTGTGCGATTTATAATGGGTATGAAATATACAATCGATTTTATTTATAGGTAGGTTGAAGAAAGCGGGGGTTGAGCGAAATGAAAAGGTGCAATTAATAATTATTTTGTATCAATGCTTTTTATGATAAGTTAAATAGTTGGTTGAGTGCTGGCTTGATTGGTGTTGAGAATTTGTTGCTATCTTTTATTTTATTACTATTGGACAATATTGTGTGTGTCTGTCCGTGAAAAGTGAATTAGAAAATACAAAGGTCAAACTAATAGAAACTGAACACACGAAAAAACAAAAAAAAAGAGAAGCAAAATTTTTTTTATAAGAATTACAAAATTTTTCACACTCTATAAATATATGTGTGTGTAATCAAATTGTTCAATCCAATTTAATTCAACCCCATTCAATTTTAATCCAACCCTCAATATGTCCGCTATTTAATTAATAATAACGATTAAATTAACTTGATCAGTTCTTTTTAGCCATTGTTATTTCTGTTATATATATATATATATATATATAAATACCTATTAATAAATAAGGATCACGATAATAAATAAGGATGAAAGGTCACGCGGCGTAAAACTTTGAAGCATTGTCTTTTTACGGTCTAGCATACAGGTTAGGGATAATTAAACAACTTGTGTTTTTCATCCGCCGCTATACAATAATTATTGCGCCCATCTCTAATTAATAATTCACCCCCAACATGAAATTCATAACAATAATTATTGTCATTATTATTATTTGGAATTACGACAAGATGTTTGGGAAATAAATGTGGGGTGGTTGTGCGACTACTGTACACGTAAAAAGGTTCCATCAATTTCGTTCTTCTGCATTCTACGATCGAAAAGTAAAATAACCTAACAGTGGCTAACTAGCTGGCTGCAATAATTGTACCGGTGCTGATGCTCATTTTGCATGGAACCGAAAAAAATTCTTGATTACGTATACTGAGTGAGGGGCCTAAAGAAAAAAATCTTGCATTTTTTTTCTCACGAAAAAAGATGGATAAATTTGTCCATTAATAACGACCACCTTTCAGGTCAATCTCCTTCCCGCAGATTATATGGTGTTCAACAAAGAAAATCTCCTCTTTAAAGTAAAAGAATAAAAACTGTCACTGGCGACGTTTTTTTTTTTTTTTGACAGTTTCGCACAAAAAAAGGGAAAGCTGTACACATGAATTTCTCACGTGCATGTCGTGCTTCCTTCTTCGAATAATAGGTTTTTTTATCCCATTGAGGATTCGATTTATCAATTATCAAGATTAAAGATTGATCTTGTCGCATTTTTATTTGTTGAATCGAAAGTCTGTTTTATATTTCTATTACTAGAATGTAACAAACACATGCAGTAGTGGAACATGTTGAAAGAGATAAATGACGTAGTTTGTTTTGATAACAAAAAAAAACTAATAAGAAAAAGAGTCCATGATCTCCATCTAAAATAGAATAATTTTAAATCCAACGTTCTTAGTATGATTCTTTCGATGATTCCGTTCTAAAACAATCGGAAATCACATTTTTCAACGTGTCAGCATCGGCAGTCGTGAATAATGTCGCCGGATAATTTTTACTTCCCCATTGTGGGTGAAGTAGAATATGACAACATCCGGCGTTTTGCACATCGTATTTTAAGAGTTGTTGCGCGCCCTCTACATCCGGATACATTGATGGGCCAGGCGAAGAAAAAACCTTGACATGATAATCAATCAATTATCATATTAATTTTAGTTTGAGTATGATCGAATATGATCGAGTTATTTTACATACAGGAAATCCCGAAGCTGGATCTGTAATATCCGCCCAATGCCCATACTGTCGCAGTTTTTCACAAATTGATGTTCCCCATTCAATAAACTGATTTGATTCAAGCATTGAAAAGTTTATTTGTCAATTTTGTCAAAAAGTGCATTGAATAAACAAAATTTACGAACACAAAAAACAAAAAATAAATACGAACGGCTTCCAATTTTGCATCCCTTTCCTTATCAACTAAAGGCCCGACACCTACAAGATCATGTTCACATTTTTGAAAGGTAGGCACAACAAGACACCGACCCAAGTCTGCCGCAACCTCGGGAAAAACTTTCTCGAGTTCTCGCGAGAGACGAGAAGAACACGCGTGAATGGAGTATTCTATTGTTATGAGTTGACAGGTTTTTGGAGTCAAGCATGTCAGAACTGTAGGTGCTTGTATCTCTATGGAACGTTTTTTTGTGGAACGGGAAGGAGAGGACAAAGAAGAGAGTAAGTTGGTTTTTGAGACCGATGAAGTGGAATAGCAAGTGGAAGAGAGTTTTTGCGACATGTTTTAGTTGATCTGATTCATAGAATGGATGTAAATGGCCACATAAATGGCCCAGGAACTGTTACATCCCACCAGTAAGAAAGAAACATGTATTACGATGTATTAGGTACAGAACACAGAATCAAAACTGGTAAGCACCGCAATATCGATATCATTTCTTTTTTTTGAGCAATCCGAATTTTTTGACAGATGCAAAAATTTTCGGATCATCCGAAAATCGGATCAATACGAATTAACAGCATGGCTTTTAAAAACCATATCCATCCATACATCCTATATCGATATTCTCGTATGTTTCTGGTATTGTGTCAAGACTTTTTGGGCATCATTGAAATTTCTTCACATTGTTGTGCAGTGGTCATTCAATGCCACGTTTGATAATTATATGTACAGCCGAGAATATATCCAAGCACGAATTGAATTAGTATCATACATGAAATTGTAAAATTATTATGCAATCAAGATAATAAATTCCTATTATATAAAATTGCTCTGTGTAATCAACATGTTGAACTATTCGCGAAACTTATTTGTTGAAGTTACCTGCGTCAGAAAACAATCGTTCACTAACCTTGTATACGTGCTTTCCACTATTCCAAAGGCCTTAGGTAAAGTTAAATAATACAGTATTTCATCATCTGAATTTAAATTTGCTTTTAGATCGCCGCCGTTATGGATTGAATTAACAGTTTCTGATTGTGGAGAGAATGGGTACTAGTTGAATCAAGGACGGGATTTTTCACCATCTAAGACCTTTGTATCGTGGATCCAATAATGATGTTATGTATATATAACCCAAATAATGTTACACATCCCCAATAGTGAAGTAATGAATTATAAATTTTGTCTTTGATCCTGTCAAGTTTAATTAGTTGTAATTCTTCAGTAATTGAAAAATTGTATTATCATAATCAAAATCTGAAAAAGAATTGGTTGCAAATCGAAGGCAAGTTCTTTTATAGTCTGAATCATTTACTCAATATAACATAAATCATCTGAAAATTCACGTGGTAATCTCTACAAACCAAATCGATTAATTAATTAATCCACTCTTCGTTAGATAGAAGTAATTTTTTTAACCGTCAGTTTTCTGTGTTGATACATCTTGGCGTAAGTGAAGTATCCAAAAAATTGACAATCAATACTTCTGCAAGTGCTAATCCGTTTCAGTTACCAATTGTTATGCAAGAAAAATGTTTTATATTTATTTAAAATTGGAATAGCAGGCATCCTTTTTTGAAATCTGTGATGGTTTTATCAATCATGATTGTATCCAGAAAATGTTTCAAGCTCAAGATCAGGATCAGAATTAATATATAAATTGCTTCACTAACATTTTTATTAGTGTACCAAGCTAGATTTAGGTATCTTGATCAAAAAATTTCGCACTTATTATTTGCTAAAACAAATTCATATTGTATATACCAGAAAAAGATGGTGATTAATAAAATATGTGATTTATATACTAAAGCAAGATTTTATCGTATCATATTTGATTTAGATATGGATGATAATAATAAAACAATCAAAAATTGAGATAACTTTATTAAGCTTTCTTATAGATTGGTTATAAATAATTAAGACATGATGTTATAATAATATAAATCTTTTTATTTAGTTCAAATCAAAATTAATGGATATAATTGTTAAAATATTAGATTCAAAATATAAATTTTACATGAAAAAATCTAGCAAAATATTAGTTTAACAAGCAAAATTTATTTCACAAATAGTACAGAATTATTAATTATAAATTATTACTTTGAACTTTTATATTTATATAATTTATAATAATTACTAGATTATATATAGTAATTTTATTATATTATTATATTTTATTGGATTTTGAAATAATTAAAGATTTATAATATTCAAAAAAATATTTAAAAGATTTTAATAATTTAAAAATAATATAAAGTATTAATAATATTTTATGATTTTTAGATTGAATACAAAAAAAAATTGAAACTGGATATTATTATTAGTAGTTTTTACAGATAAAAGTCTTTACTACATAGTAGACATAGTAATTCAGGCTAAAGTATTTAGCACCAAATAATTTGCAAAAAAATTTTTAAATTAGAATTTAGAATATTTAGAATACTTTAGGACTTATATGATAATTCAAAGTTTGAAATATTTAGAACTTTGAAAAGTACTTTAGTTCAAATCATTAAGTAAATAGTGATTAGATTTATATAAAAAATTAAACTACTAAATTATTAAAAGTTATAGTTTAAATATCAAATAATAAAATAATAGGATTGAACATAACTTTAACAAGAAATTAATAAATTTAAAATAAATAACTATCAAGATTTTTTTGAAATATCAATAATAATAACTATATAAATATTAAAGATAATTGCTGAAATTATTTTTAAAAAACTGAAATATTTAGCTTCAAAACTGAATTGATGAATTAAAATCAAATTGACAAATTAAAACTGAATTGTCAAATTAAAACTGAATGACTGAATTACTGAATTAAAACTGAATTGCCGAATTAAAACCAAATTACTGAATTAAAACCAAATTAACTGAATTGCTAAATTAAAACTAAATTGCTGAATTAAAACTGAATTGCTAAATTAAAACTGGATTGACTGAATTAATAAATTAAAATCAAATTGCCAAATTAAAACTAAATTGATTAAATTAACAAATTAAAAATGAATCGCTGAATTAAAACTGAATTGACAAATTAAAACTCAATTAACCAAATTAACAAATTAAAACTGAATTGTCAAATTAAAACCAAATTAACAAATTAAAACTGAATTGACCAAATTGACAAATTAAAATCAAATTGACAAATTAAAACTAAATTAATCAAATTAATAAATTAAAATCAAATTGCCAAATTAAAATCAAATTAACAAATTAAAACCAAATTGACTGAATTATCAAATTAAAACTGAATTAACAAATTAAAACTGAATTGTTAAATTAATATTGAATTGTTGAATTAAAATTAAATTGATAAATTGACTAAATTAATGAATTAAAATCAAATTGTCAAATTAAAACCAAATTGATTAAATTGACAAATTAAAACCAAATTAATAAATTAAAACCAAATTGCTAAATTGATCAAATTGATGAATTAAAACTAAATTGCTAAATTAAAACTAAATTGATTGAATTAAAACTAAATTATCAAATTAAAACCAAACTGTTGAATTATTAAATTAAAATCAAATTATTAAATTAAAATTAACACTTTAAATATTAATGCTAATATATCAGTTTATGCCAAAATAAATTTATATAATAATTATATAATAATCAGGTAATAATCATGATTGATATCTTATTAATCTTTATGTATAATTAGAAGTAATCAAATAATGATATAATGTAATTGATCTATGATTGATGTGTGATCAATATGTAATTAATGATTAATCAATATATAATTAATAAATAATACTAATTGAAATTTTAAGTTGAATTATTTATTAAATATATATAAAAAATTGATTATATAAAAAATATATATAAATTTAATACCATTTTCTACGATTATATCTTAATTGCATAAATTCTTCAAATTTTTCTTTTTTTAATTCATCTTCATTTTCATCTTTATTTTCATTATCTTTTTTTAATAATACCAATAAAGCAGCTATAGTATAAAAATTATTGACAATTTGATTTTGTCAATATTTAATATGATTTGAATTTTTAATTTTTTTCTCCATTTTTTAATAGTTATTATTATTTATTTTGCCAAATTTTGAGACCAACCAGCTTGATATCCATAAAAAGGAATAGTTATAGTATCATGTTCATCTTTTTCTGGCCAGCACCAAAGAGTATTTGCTATTATTTCAATCTTAATATCCCATTTGGATAAGAAAAAATTACCTCCTTCAAAATTATCTTCTTCAATTATTATTATTTTTTATTTCTCTTTTGATAATACAAGTAAATGCAAAATTCAAAATATTATAATCAATATGATTATATTTTGTATAATTAATTATAGTATAGATCTGGCAAAGTTCAAGAGAAAAAGGTAACTGAATTTTCTTGTTCATATATAAAATAGTAAAGCCTTTATTTATTGCTTCATAATTATAGTTATCAAGCTGAAGAAGATTATATTCTTCAAGAATCTCTTTAATATTATTAACAACTTTGATAAGAAATAAGCTTATGACATAATTAAAAAGTAGTACATTAACAATAATCTCATGTTTATATTATAAATTACTTTCACAATATTGTTTTTTTAAATTCAAGACATGAGTAAAGATTCCATATTGTTGTGTGATAAAATAATCAGCAGTAGTTAAATGATCTTGATTGAAAAATTCATTTTCTTGACAGATAACTGAACAATAAAAATCAAATATTTCAGCAATAGTGATATTGAAATGTTTTAAAATATCTTTACCAATTTGATTACACAAAATTATTATTAATAATCTATTAGTATTTATTTCTTGAATTATTGCTTCTTGATTATAATGAATAGTAAGCTTGATAATTAAAAATGTATCAATAGCTTTGATTTGTGAAGAAAAAGAATTTTTTAATTTATAAATCAGATTTTAAGAAGAACATTTTGAATATAATTATCTCAGGATAAAATATATATAGTTAGAATATTTCAGACAGTTTGCATAGCATTTGTTATTAAATTATTTGTCTGAATCTAAAATAATTTATTAAATTTATATTTAAAAATTCATATTTATATTAAATTAAAATAAATAACTTACAAATAATTTGATAGCTGATCAGTTTTCTATTTAGTATTTAAAATATCATTATATATTTTTTTGCAAAAATCATTATTTATTTTTACTAAATAATAATTGAATTTAGCTTACCAATTATTCTATATTATAATATTATTAATAAAAATTAAACAAAAATAATATTTTTAAAATACAATATAAAAATTTATATTATCAATATTATCAACAGTTGTATCAGAATAGAGTGACCTAATATTAATTAATTCTGATATTGAATTGACAATTATTTTA